CACTGGCAGCTGCCACAGGAGAAGAGGACGGCCAGGCTGAGCAGTCAGAGGCAGATCCTGGACTGAAGGTTACCTCGCTGCTCCTGGGAAGTCCCCGGGTTTCTGGTCACAGGTCGTGCAGCCACTACCGTCTCACACTTGCATGCCAGGTGGTCCTCCAGGGTCACTGTGGCCTTCTTAAAGCTTGGCTTCTTCCGCACAATCTCAATCTTTCTCACCTGGAGGACAGAACCAACGAAGTAAGACCGCTTGGCAGGGGCTGAGGGAGCTGCCTGCCTGCTCTTCACACCCCAGCGTCCCCAGCGCGGAGGAATCTTTCCTCGAAAGCCTGAGGAACGGCAGGGCAGACACTGTGACCAAAACAATAGCGGGACCTTGCCCTCTGCCCTTCTCGTAGCTTTTCCATCAAAACAAGCCCTTCCCGACCTGGCCTCCCGCTTGGCTTGGCCACAGCCCCCCTCGGTGCTCTCAGAGAGGGAGAAAGGCATTTCCGGGCAGAGTGTGGAGCCTGTGGTGTCCTCATTCCTGGAGCGCCAGCCAAGGTCAGGGACTGTGGCAGAGGCTGGGAGATGGTTGTCTGGAAGGAAGTGAGGGGAGGCTATATCCAGGAGGGAGGCGGGAAGGGGGAGGTCAGCTGTCAGGTGTCCATCCATAGAGCTGGAAGCGTTGGGGACAGGAGATACCATGACAGTGGGTGGTGGGGTCGGGAGTGACACTCATAATCTCGGGCCCAGGGCCCAGGTCTGGGATGGAAGGTGGGCAAGAGGAAAGGGCACAGCTGACGGCAGGGGAGGGGGCGTGAAGTCACCAGAGCATTCAGCAAACGTGGGGCTCGCCAGCCAGCACTGGCCCTCTGCGTGCCTACCACCCAGCACCTCAGCTTAGCAGAGGTGTGTGGGTGAGGCTGGCCCGAGGGGTACAGAAACCTTTCCACATGAATCAGAAGGCAGCTGAGGCTTCTCTGACCCTGCCCTGCCTGGCATGAGGTCAGGAGCTCCTCAGGGCCGCCTCGACTCTAAAATTTCCCTTGAGTCAGAGTGCATACCCAATGTTTCCAGGAGAGAGGCAGGATGCAGCATTCTGACTGTTCTAGGGGCTGCCCCAGCTTTTGCAGAGTCTGTGGCCTAGAGGGTCTCTGCACCCTCCTTATTAAAGACACAGTTTGTCAAAGGGAGAAGAGAAGATGTTACAGACGCAGGGGGACCTTTCTCTCTGCAGAATAAAGAACCGACAGGCCAGAACGGGAGAGCTTTGGACCCCCAGCAGCTGCCCAGAACATCCTGAGTGTCCAATATGTTTCTACAAACATTCCTTTTTAAGAGACATTTTGGGATTTTTATCCCTGTAAAGAGTGAGGCAGTGCCCTTCACTTAATGTCCCATGCCCAGCCTGCCTGGAGGTCTGTGGCTTTTGGTCACAGTGGCTTGAGAGGTCATAGAGGACTCTTGGGCTGCCTCGGCACACCTGTCCAGAGAGCTTCCTGAGAGGGCCCTCTCTGGGCTGAGCCCCACGCCCTGCCAGGAATGCCTTTTGACACATTCAAGAGCCTGGTCAGCGAGTACCAGCCCCAGCAGGGCAGCCCTTATCCTCCGTTGAGCCAGCCCGGGAGGGGGACGTAGGGCCTGCGCACCTGGACGTGTCGTAGCTGCACCTGGGTGGGGCGGCACTGCACGTTGCGATTGTTGCAGCAGCCGGAGCAGCGCTGCACCTCCACACAGGGCGGCCACACCAGGAAGTTGGCGTTGGTGCGGTCAACGAGGCGCCGGGAGATCTCAAACACCTCGGTGCGTGTCTTACACTCTGCGATCATGGCTGGCTCGGCGGCCACTGGGGAATCTGAAGGGAGAGGGAACCTCCATTAGGAGTCGGGGTGGAGGGTTGTTCACAGCCCCTACCTGGCAGGAAGTAGAGCACCTCAACATGGCGGGCCGACTCCCTCTTCCTTCCACGTCGGGGGAGGTTTTAAGTACTGGCTGTTATCAGCCGTGGGATTTGGGCAGGTTGCTGATGTGCTCTGAACCTCAGTTTCCCCATGTGCAAATGGGGGTGATGAGATCTACACCCAAGAACCACTGTCAGGATCCAGTGAGGGAATTCAGAGGGTGCTGGCATGTTGTAAATGTCAGTTTCCTTCCCCAGCCCTCACCCACTTCACTCTGCGATCTCACACCTTTATGGGTTTGCCCAACATGTGGCCCTAACTATTACCCTGTAACCACTTTACTTTCTCATTTTACACTGCAATCTATTCTGACATCGTTGCTTCTTTCGAAGCCACAGTTTCCTCATCTATGAAATGGGATAATAACAGTGCCTACATGGCACTTGCAGACCTAAGGAGTGAAGTGACTGAAGCCTGGCCTACAGCAAGCATACAGGCAACGCTGGGGTTTGTCATTATTCACATACAGAAAAACTGCGTCTCCAAGAGCTAAATTAGCTGCCCAAATTCACAGAGTGAGGAGTGGAACTCAAGCCACTGACTCTTATCTGGAGGCCTCCCAGCCACTATCTACAGTGTTTTGGGGGCTGCAGGTGGGCAGAGAGGAAGAGGAGCTTGGAGTGGGCAGTTGCGTCCCCTGATCTACATTCTCCTTTTGGTTTCTGCAGTACAGCAGGAGGCAGGTCCCAGGCTTTGCTCCGTGTCTGCTGTCCCAGGCCACAGCCCAGACATGCAGCAGGTGGCACTGGGTTCAACCCAGAAGAGGTGTTGGGATCCCAGCCCTACCGCATGCTAGCTGTGTGACCACAGCCACCTCTCTACCTTCCTTGGGCTCTAGTGTCCAACTCTATAAAATAGGGTTAACAATGTCTATCTCTAGGGTCGAAGTATGAGCAGATGAACTTAAAAGATTATATTTAGGAAACAGTGTGTTGGGGGTGGGTGTGATGACAACTCAGTACAGGGTATTTAAGGATGCTTTCTCTCTTAGCTTAACTCATTCCTAAGTGTGGGACAAATGGGGCCCACCCTCGCAGCCTCAGGCAGGCTGCGTGCCCCAGTTCTCCTTCCCTGGCTCCTACTTTTGAGGGATCCCTGTTCTCACCCTCAGTCTTACCTAAGCTCCTTCTCCCTCGGGATAAGCTCTCCAGCTTGCCTCCGGAATGGGACTGGGTCAAATTCAGGTCCAACTCAGCCCCGTCTTCATCTGCAAGAGAAGGCATAGTCAGACACACTCTGATAACTGCTGGCTGGACCGACCACGGGGTGGGAGCCCCAATGGGGGCTCTGGGCAGGCGGGAGGATTGCCTCTCGCCCCTCACTGGGACCCCACTCCAGAGAACACTCCTCTTCTGGCTCCCTTCCTCTGAGGAGGGGCCCTCCAGGCAAACCCCAGGGTGGCCACAGAGTTGAGGAGGTGGTGGGGCCCTGACTGTATCCTCGGGGAGCCTCAGCCCTACTCTGGGTTCTTCAGGCACATTTTTGGACAGAACCCATGTCAATGGAGTTAAAAATAGCCCTTCCCTTTTGCTACTGTAAGCGAACGCTCCTCAGCTTCCAGGGCAGGGCAAGGACCCAGAGCTCTGAAGGCCATTTTCCAGTGCCCCTCCACCCAGCGTTCCCATAGGAAGTGCTGAATGGAGAAATTCCCATAATCCCCAGGGGGGACCAGCATGCCCTGGACACAGCCCCTCTGGAGCCCCTGACAATGGTCCAGTTGGGCGGGAGAGAGGGTGGGAGGGTGACGGAGAGAGGGGTGGGGACTGAAGGCAGAGAGAGGTGGGGAGCTGGAACTGCTGGGATGGGGGCACCCTCACCCAGCGCCCTTCTAGGTCTTGGTCTCTCTCCATCTCCCAGTCTCCCATTGTTTTTCTGTCTCTTTCCCTCTAACCTTTTGCCCCATGTCTGCCCTAAGCTGTACCTTTATTCCTAAGGTCACAACTACAGCTCCTTTCTCTAGCCTGAAAGGTCCTCATCTCAGCACTCCTTAGAAACATCCCTCTGTGTAGAGAGGCAGCCGGAAGCCAGCTTGTCGGAGATGAGGGTTGGACAGGAGGACTTTGGGCTTGACGTTGAACGGTGGGCAGACTCTTCTAGCTCTCTGATGGCTGAAAGCCAGCAAATCAACTGAAGGGTGCCAGGGACCAGCTCCTGTCCCCCTCCACACAGTACCTCAGGCTCACACTGTCTCCCCATCCCACTGACCCTGCCAATAATAAAGCTTCTGCTCGTCCCTGTGGGCTCCCAAAGGGCCCTGTTTAGAGCAGACTTTCCTAAAACTGATGCATTTCCGTCTAGCCTATTGTCCCACGACAGCATGTCTGTCTGTCTCTCTGGCTCCATTCCTTTCTCTCTGCCATCTCTGGAATGTCCCTGGTTGGGAGGAGATGGGGAAAAGATGTGCTTTGTGGAAAGGTTAAGTTGATTAGGAAAAAATAGCCACATGGTTGCCTCGAAACAGGCCTGCTATTGAAAACCTCGTCTTCCCCATCCCGACCCCCACCCGGGGTGTGGAGGGGCTATTTGAGGGTGGGGGCAAAGGACCTTGGAAAGAAACAGCAGAAAAGCTAAATTTGGAAGTTGCCCCATTGTGTTGGCCAGGGCTGGCCAGTCGGGCATGGGGTGGGGGTGTGGGAGACGTCGGGTGGGGGGCCTGGTGAACAATAGGTGGGCGCAGCTGGGGCCCCCTCCCGCCTGCATCATCGGGCCCCAGGCATAGGCGGGTTTGAAAGGGCCCGGGGAATGCTTTTGAGAGGGAGCCAGGGGCCCAACAGGGAGAGGAAACAAAGGCAGGAAATGCTGTCCCCCGTAGATAGCAGTCTCGGCAAGGATTACAAAGTGACAAAGAGACAAAACCCCAGAGGGAAGGGGAGCTGGGGGTGCAGGGGGGTGCTGACCAGGGCTCCAGGGAACAGGCCAGAGGTTAGAATAGAATGGAATTTGCTCTGAAGACAGCGTTTATAAATACATTCCCGACACAGCCTGCCAGCCCCGCCACGTGTGTGCCACCAAGCACGTGCCCATTCTCTGAGTGCCCTCTTGGGCACGGGCAGGGCTGCCCACTGGTCCCGGCCAGGTGTCCCCGGGAGACCTTGTAGAGTGGGCCCTTGGCCAGAGAGACAGGGAGGTGGCTCCTCCAGCACCACCCTCCCTGGCTGAGTCCACACCTGGATACTCATGGGGCAGATGCCCTGGGCACCTTCTCCCTGCCTGCCCCCTCCCAGAGCCCCACCCTCTGCAGCACGCCAGAGCCACATGTGGGTGCTTCTCCTGCCACACCCCACGTCCTAGGTACTAGCCTGTCTGCCCATTCAGCCCTGCCCCAGACAGGTGTGGCCAAGCCTACCCTTGGCTGCCAAAGCCTCTGGTTCTCTGGATGTCACAAAAGAGGGGAAGGCCCTTGCCCGGCACCCACTCCCCGCCCAGCTCCCGAGAAGTCAGTGGAGGGCTAGAGCCCTGGGCAAGGATTCAATTTACCTACGGAGTCTCCGTGCAGCAGGCGCTGGAGGTCATCAAAGGAGCGGATCGAGTGGTCACTCAGCATCTCGTAGAGCTCCTCGGGAATGGGGTCCCCCTGCCAGGCAGACACGTGGGAGTAAGAGCTTTCCAGTCGTGGCCCACTTCACCCGAACAGACACTACCCGCTATAGAAAGTTCCCACGGGGTCTCTTGGACACGGACAGTTGAACAGCCAGGCTGGGGGGGGGGGAGGGGCAGGAGGCAGACTCCAGGCCTGACAACCAGGAACACAAAGGCCTGAGGGCCAGCATCTGCCGAAGCCTCGAAGACCCAGCTAAGATGCTGCACCTTGTCTCCAAATAGGACCCTCAGCTCACTCTGAGTTAGATTTGCTTGTATACATCCGCCACCCCCAACACACTACAGGTTCTGGGAAGCACCATAGTCTTTATGCTTCTCCTGCACAACTGACAGCTAATGACAGCCAGCGTTTGACATGGGAGAGCTAATGATCAGAGATAAGAAAACAGAGGCTCAAACAGGTGACACCCTTTGTCCGAGTCCTATGGCCGATTATCAGCAGAACCTGCATTCAAAACCCCATCCGATAGCACAACCTATACACAAGGTTTTTCATCAAGGCCTGTAGAGTCAGACGGTCTCAGGAGGCCACAGGTCCTCATGCCATCTATTTAGTCTCTTACTTAAAGAAGAGAGAAGGGAATCCTCAGATGCGGCCGGGAAACCTGAAAGCTTACCCGTGCCCCATGCCCAAGCACACCCTATTTTTAGAGGCTCTCTGGCCTGTTACCAAAAACACTTGAAACTTAATAAGCACTTTAACAGGCCCCACTCGGAGCCAGGCTTCCTCCAGGGAAACCACAGGGCCCACAATGACATGAGAGCAGCTCGATAGGAAGGATGCGGCCACATCCCCCACGGTCCAGGGAGACCCGAGGGGCTGATGCTAGAGGTCTAGAGAAAGAGGTGAGGGCAGGTGAGAAGCTGAGAAGTACAATCTGGATACCCAGCGCCTCAGGGCAAAGAAAACACATAAGATGCAACTGTACATCCGAACTCACACCCAGACAAACACACACGTTGACGCGTGCGCACACACAGGATGGCACGGTCTCGTTGAAGGAGCCCTGGGAGGGTGTCTGCTGACTTGACTTACCGCTGTTTAACCTTGGGTCTAACAACTCAGTCTCCCTGAATTGAGGGAGGGGCCCCTGCTCTCCTTGGCTCACTGAACACTCCAAGGACTAGAGCTCTGGGAGGCTTAGAGCAGGTCCTCTCACTGCCTGACAGGGGGATGGTGGGGGGGGGGCGTGTGTGTGGGGAGGTCATTTCACCTGGAGGCCAGCCCCAGGGGGCTCTCCCCAAAAGCTCTGGTAGGAGCCCAGTGCTTGATCAGTTTCTAGTCACCCTCCAAAGCTCCATTTCCTCGACACCTATGTGACTTATCGAGGTGCCTGGGAACACCTCCTCCAGGGGTTCCACCAGGCCCAGCTCTGGCCACCCAAGTTGGCCTTGGAGCCAATGGACCCAGGGCAGAGTGCGGGCATAACCACTTTTAAAACGAATTCCTTAAAACCCCCGACCTCAGTTTCTTCATCTGAACGTGGAGCTCATCATCCTGGCTGGTGTCAGGGCTGTCAGGAGGTTCGAGGGAGGGAAGGCTGGGGGCCTGGCAGTAAGCTTGGCTGGGAGCTTGGGGTCTTTCCTTCAGGGTCCACAGCCATGCAGCCGGGGAGCCAGGGGCCGCATGTGTAAAAGGAGTGGCGTTGGCTTCGCTGTCCCTCACTTTTTTCCCTCATCTACAACACCAGGAGAGAGGCTACACCTTGGGTGGTCTCCAAATGTGGACACAGGATCCAACCCAAGAACAGAAGGCAAGCGGCTGATTGCCAGTTAAGCTCAAGGCAGGCCACTTCCCCAGGGGTTTCTGTCACCCCCAGAACTGGTGATCCAGAGAGCTGGAGTCCACCATCTCCTGCTGCTAACTGCCTGTGACCTCAGGTTGGTCACTACCCCTCTCTGGTCCTAGCTCTCGCCTGTGAACTGAGGGGGTCGTAGCCATTTGATTTGATTCTAATTCTGTCTCGGGTAGGCAGGAGAGGCAGCAGCAAAGGAAAGCCAAAGTGGGGGTGCCCAGCCAGGTCTCCAAGGCTGTTTGTGGTGGAATGAATCAATTAACTTCCCAGGAGAGAGGACTGAAGACCCAATACCAAATGGCATGTAGCATTCGTGCCAAGACCTCCTTGCCCACTGGAGAGCTGGCTGCAGTTGCCAGCCATTGCAGAGTAGGCAGACCCCAATTGGATCCAGCGGATACCTGGACCCAGCCTATAATACAAAAGAGATGATGTCTTATGGAAACAAACCCAGAACACGCCCCCGCCCCCCCCCCCTCCTACACACACACAGTCTGCATGGGGAAGAGCCCAGGACAGATACTGGGGAGAGGCACACAGTAGCTCCTCAATAAATACTGTAAAATGCATGGCAGACGCTCCCCTTTGCCTTGGGGTTCTCTCCTGCATGATTCCCCCACCTCCTCCTCTACCAGTAGGACCACCTGAGATAGTCTCCCACACACCCCCACCCCCACACAAATTGTCTCCTATAGAGTCCACTTTATTCTAAGCAGATGGGTCATTCCTGCACATGCTTCTAGTAATTTGGCCACTGGGTGCCCAGAACTAAGAGGCCCTGGATTTGATAATACCACAGCTAACTTTTAGTAAGTGCTGACTATGAGCCAGGCACTGAGCTCAATACTGTACTCTCAGTCCCAAGATGCTGGTGCTTTTTATCCCCATCTTCCAGGTGAGGAAGCTGAGGCTTAGAAAAACTAAGTAAATGGCTATAGGTCAACATGCCTGGTAAGTAGCAGAGCCAGGCCCCTCCCTCTTTCAGCCCAATGTGGATTGTTTTCAGTTCATGTCCACTCTTCACCCAGTGGACAGTAGAGGTCATAGAGCAGGGGGTGAGTGGCCCCCAGGGGCACTGGCCAGGTCTGGAGGCACTTTTGGTTATCACAACTGAAGGGTTACTACTGGTATCTAGTAGATAGAGGCCAGGGGTGCTGCTAAACATCCTACTATGCACAGGACAGCCTCCCCCACAATAAAGAATTGTCTGGCCCCAAATGTCAGCAGTGGAGAGGTTGAGAAACTGTAGTAGCTTCAGCTGCCAAGGAAGCCTGGCTTGCTGGAATAAGTCTTTTAACAACCTAAAACCTCAGCTTCTTTATCTTTTAAATGGGGCTAATAATACCTCACGGGGTTACTGGGAGGCTTAATTGCACCTAATAGAGCAGCCAGCAAATAATGGGAACTTAATGAGCTGTCACTGTGGTCATTGCGCATTCCTTCAGTGTGGCTCCTTTGAGGGCAGCAGTAGGCAACACACGCCTGCCTGTGTCTGCGCTGGTCGGCAGCGCAGGACTTTTTGAGGATGACAATGGGTGAGTGGAGAGCCGCCTGCCCATGGGAGTGTGTGTGGCTTTGCATTATCCCCTGTGCTGGGTCACAGGAAATGGCACCCTGGCCTCACAATGGCACTGCCCGTGGGGCAGTGTGGGCTGACAGTTCCCTTCTAGGCCTAAGGGCAGGTGATGGGTGGGGAAATTCAGCCTGTGGTCAGCTTCAGGAAGCAGTGCCCTGTGGGGAGACCACCTGGGTGCCTGCTTGGGGCCAAAGGCTCCTCTTTGTGTGGGAGGGGTGAGCACAGGGTGAAGGTTTTCCTGGGCACATGTTCTAGAAGACTCCTTAGGTGGGCAGCTCCCCTCAGAGCTGGCAAAGGAGGCTTGGCACTATGAGGAAACTGCCCCAGATCTCAGGCCTAGGGTTCCTGGCAGGGTGAGGGCGTGGCAAGGCAGCAGCTGGGGCACAGCCAGCCTTGGGAGCCAAGGCAAACAGCCTCCTCCCCAACCCACCCCACCCCCAACACCAGCTGCAGAAGGTAGGAAGCGTGAGGCCAGGTGAATTACCTGCTCCCAAACCAGGCTGGCAGATCAAAGGGGCTTGGACCCCACCCTCCACCTGGGCCCCAGTGCGCACCGACACACACTTCCCAGCGTGCGGTTCAATGAAGAGAGGACATCGCTCCTGGCCCAAGCAACCAGGGGCGTTGTCTATGGTTGGCAGACTGAGAAGCCGACCAGGCCTCCGAGCGCCAGCCTGCCTGAGAGTCTCAGGCCTAAATTAGATTCAACGCCAAAGCCAAGCCCTTTGAAGACGCCTCCTCTGGGCAGACCACAGAAGCCATTTAGACCCAGCCTTTCCCACCTACCATTTCCCTTCTCTATTTCTCCTGAGACCCTCCCACTCCCCCTACCTCTCCTTAACATGCGTCCAACCTCCCACTGGGCTCTCCACCTCTCCCTTGAGCAGAAAAACTGTTAGAGCAGGAAGAGAGGGGCCAGTGCAGCAATCCAATCCTGGCAGCCCAATCACTGCCCACCACCACACCCCACCCCAGCTCCCAGCACCAGGTGGGTAGGGCCCAGGATTCTGTATTGTCAAGAGGCCTGGTAACTCCGCGGCTCTTGGGAAAACTCTGAGTTAATGCAACCTTCTCATAAAAAACTGAGGCCCAGCCCAGCTCAAGATACACAGAAGCTTTGCAATCTGATTTTCCTTCTGTTTCTTCCCCTCTGTCCTGTCCAATCTTGGCAGCCCAAGTCCTAAGACAAGGAAAAGAAAGACAGGCTTGTCTCTCAAGGTGGGGGGTGGAGGGCTCGAATGAGGGTGCCTGGTGGAGGGCAGTGTGGCCATGCTAGGCTGCCCTGGGGTGAGGACTAAATGAGGCAGTGTTTATAAAGCACTTAGCAAGCGATAGATACATATTGGGGTCCCTCCCCCACCCCCAGGATTCACTGTCCTTTCCACAAATATTTAGACTATCCACCATGGGTCAGGCACTGTTCTAAGCATGGGAGATGGTGATGACTAAGACAAAC